GACCCCACCGTCGTATAAAAATGAAAAGGATTTCACTTATCTGCATAAGACCCTAAAAACATTATATTATGAAATATGAAGACAGTGAAATAGGGACAGAAATCCTGCTAAATTTTTGTCAATAATGAAAACACACTAAATGGAAAATATCGTAGATTCTATCAAAAGTTGTTTCTGCAAGAAAAACACGCAACACCAATAAATTCATGAGAGATTATTTCTAAAAGGGCTCCACTAAGTCACGTATGGTTATAGAACTACTACTATTATAAAACCCATATGAGAGACATAGGAATGGGCTTTTTTAAAAATTCTTTTCTCTCCAAATAATGATGCTGTCAGCTTCTTTACTGTCTTGTTTAAATCCCAAGTCTAATATTACATTTTACTCTAAAATAGTTAGGGAAAAAGGTTGATCCATGTGTTTTACTTCTATTTTATATTTGTAGCAAAAAAACATATGAAAAATGTCACCCAAATGTTTTATTGTTCCCAGATATGTTGGCTGCGGAAAATCTGTCATTTCTTAATCAAATTGCTATAGCAGATAGCTTTTAGTATGTAGAACATGTTTTTCTTTCATCTTCCTGCCATATATAGTGGAAAGGACAGTCCGCCTCAAACCTTGACGTTGGGGGGGCCCAGTCACCCAGGGAGCAAGTGGGGAAAGAAGTCAAGAAAGTTGAGTGGGGTCTGGCCTTGGGGTTTAGCGTATCAAATGGAAAGAATAGAAAAAGAGTTGGCTGCAGAATGAATGTCAGCTGCAGATTGATTAAGAGTTTGATGCAGAGTAACTTAATAAAAGAAGTACTAAAGTATTAGAAAGGAGCCATCCTTCGTTCTTTTGCTATCATAGAACATTGTATGTACTTTTTTATCCTCTTTTGTTTGCTCCATCCTAAACTTTTATCACCTTGTATCAGCATCTTGAGAGATTTTGAATAGCTAGTCAGATTTAGGGGCCATTGGTTTAGAACATGTTATGCAAGGATTAGTAGTGCAGGGATTATAACACGTAGATTATTTCTTGTATGATGTTTAGTTGATATATTACCAATTAGTAGTGTATAATTGATATATGTGCTAACTTCTTAAACAAATATAAGTTTTTTTGCTATTTTATATGAGGGTTAGTTTTGTCTTGTTTTAATCCATGTGTTACTACTAATACCCACATTCTTATTTCACGTTCTGTCCTACATATTAATACATAGATTCCCGCACCACTTATGCAAGTATCAGTTATGAGGAAAAGAAAACAAGTAATGAAACATTGTATTTATTATGTGGGGTTTTATGTGGAGATTGTTTTTTTTAATGAATCCAACTAAACGACCCCTTAGTGTATGAGCAGCATCAGGTACAGTACGCTAGTGTGTAAAAATAGCTTGTGACTTATAGCCGGAGAACATTACTAGGTTGATTTGTGCTGAGCTTATAAGGTGATACTCTGCTTAACTATTATGTCAAGTACAATACACATTCATGAAGCATGTTGTAAACCATTAGTTCTGTCTTAAGAATTAGTGGGATGGGTAAAATTCCTACCTTCAGTACTTGGGAACTTCTGCTACAAGATATCTGCTACTTTTTAGCTTGTACAAGTAGCGGGTACTCTTTCTACCAAGGTTTAGAAGATGAGAAAGAAATTACTTAGCTTTTTTACCTATACTAGAATTTTAACTCTGGTTTCTCATGTTCTATCCCCGTTTTATTGAATGCGAGGCGGATCTATTATATGAATCCTGTAATTCATTTCGCTCTATTTGGAGTTGCTATGTTCAAATACTCAATAAATTGATGTTAACGTATGTCTAGGAGAGTATGTCCCGACATATTCATTGTTATGAGGATTAATGGCAAATTGACTACATTATCTATAAGCCTACAGTAACTCTCCTCTTTTATCCATGTTCAAGACCAACAGTATAAGCTCTCATAGAATGCAAAGCTTTCACTTCAGAGTTTGATTGAATGATCTATGTTTTTTTCTTTAATTTAACATCTAGTTGTGTATGTTTTATTATTTTTAATGATCGAACGGTTTATGCTTGGTCAGTAATTTGGAGGTACAATCTCCCATATACCTGCTTCTTTGTGATTTTTCTGTTTGGACCCCCAATATGTGAAATAGTTCTTTCTGGTGAAGTATAACTAATCTTCTCCTATAGCAATATTGATTTTTGTCTGAAATCTTATTGTGTATTGTACAATGTGATTTTGGTGTGTGTGTTTGTGTTTGATGTACGAAGGGGTCATCACACTATTGTGAGTGTTTAAGGTTACATTCTCACAATTGACATTTTCATGTCCCTTAATAGGTTCTCATGCTTGTATGAAACCTTTCTTACATTCTTACATCTGACATTTACATGTCCCCTAATAGGTGGAGCCAGATGTTCAATTTTTGCTTGTTGTTGTGGCGATTTAAGGACCTTTGTAGCAGCTGAGTTCGATTAGGTGGGCTAGTCATCTCTCAACAATTTACTAGTTCAGAAAAAGTTTTGAACAGAAATTTCTCTGATGCTTAGATGGTCAGAGGCTTGAAAAAAAAGAGAGAAGAAAACTAGCAATATCTTCAGTTAAAGCAAATTGGTTCTGATACTTTTTGCCACCTTTTTTCATGTCTGGGCTTAATGAATTTGGACCTGGTCGGTGGGTAATACAGAGTAGGTGGCTGTTTGGTTGCCTAGCAAAAGTATCATTCTATAATTAATTGGATATCAGACTGAGTCAAGTTTGAAAACATAAACTGAAGAAGGGTAACTTCTTGAATTTCAACCTCATTGTTGACTATATAGCTACTTATTTTTCTCTTAGGAGAAGTGGAAACAAGAAAATGTAATTTAGGCATTGTTAAAAAACATGCAGACGAGTTCAAAAAAGAGACTATAAGGAGTTGAATTTTGAGTTTCTAAATTGATGTGCTCAATCCAAAGTTGATAATTCTATATTTGACTTTTTTTTAAAAAAAAAACTATTTTTCAAATACATGAAGTTGTGAACTTGTGATTTATAAGAAATTTAATGTAGCATGTAGTTTTTTAGTATATTAATTTTCTATCTATCTATCTATCTATATATATATATATATATATATAAATAAATTAGAAACTAGTGGTGAAGCTTTACATTATAAATTATATTGATCAATTCTCAAGGAGTGCATGCATGGTTATTGGTACTTCAAGGCTTAAAAGTCCACTTATTCGAATTATGATTTATTAAATTGATCTTTTGAATACATGATAAAGTGTGTTTATTAAACATTTTTGTGTGTTCTCAAGTTTCTATAAAGTAACTATTAACCACATAATATACATTGCCTCTATTAGTTATATACATCAACATCAATTGAGATAAACTCGAGATTTTACGTTTTATTGATGTTAATCATGCTTAATTGAAGGAGATCACTACGTTAAATGATTAACCTATCTATATAATAAGCCTTTGAGAACACATACTGAAACTTTATAAAAGTTCAAATCATAAAGTCTAATAGAAACATTTTATCATATGATTAGATGCTCAATCACAGAAAGATTTTACTGATAAGTTCAAGAAATTGATGTAATAAACCTTTTTTTCCTTGCTTAGACAATGTAAGACTAGGGTAGCATATTGGTTGGTTCGTTCAGTTTTGAAGTTTATCGATTCGACATATTTGTATCGATTTGTAGACATGCTAAATCATTATAGAATCATTACATGCTAAACCATTATAGAAGTAGACCATTAAGATATTAGTTTATCGATTATTGATCGTTATCGATTCGATTATTGATCGTTATTGATTCGATTATTGATTTAACCGTTAAGAATTAACACACACAAAAAAATCATTGAAGATTACTTAGAAACAAGGTGACAAACCAAATGAATCATTCACATGGGCTGACATATTACATGAACATCAACATATTATAAAATAATCGAGAGCTTGAGATAGTCAAATTTGAAAGAATGAAACTAAATTTAAGTCAAGGACTTAGTATATCAAATGGTATAAATACAATTTATTAATTTACTATCGAATTATCAGTTAATCCTTTAAAAAAAATCTCAAATCGTCAAAAATTGACAATCTAATAAAAAAAAGTCAAAATCATTATTAACGATAAATCAACATATATTTTTCAATTTTAATTTCGACTTCAGTTCGATTTTAAACCGCTCTGCTAAGACAATGGAAAAATAAAGCAAGAGTAGGTATGTGGACCATCTCCCAAACCCTTAGAATTAGAAAACAGCTGGCAGCCATACGTGAGCTGCTCAAAGTTTCCTACGTGAACTCCTCTCCTTAATTTGACTTTGTTGAAAAAAGATTTTTAAAAAAATAGTAGAAAAAAAAAGAAGAGAAAATAAAAAATAATGAAATAAAAGATTCTGCCAACACTAAATTGTTTTATTCCTCTAAATATCTTGAGATGCTCCTTTGTTCCATGACCGAGTCTTTTGGTCTCCCTTATTACACCACAAACACCAAACCAACACAAAAAAAAAAAAAACAATTTTAATTTTAACCAAACAGAAAAGCAGAAAAAAGTAAAAGAAAAGGTGTTGAAAAAAATCCTTTTGCATACATTCATCATTACTGGTATTATTTTTGTGTCATATACCCCCAAAAGAGCTAATTATTTCTTCTTTTTTCCCTCTCTTATCATTTTTCACATTCCATTTCTCTTCTTGATGCAATCATTTCATTTCCAACAGAGAGAGAGAGAGAAACAAACACTAAAAAAACAAACAAGAAAAAGATATTCTAAAGATACATAGAATATGACAATTATGTACTGTTCTCCTTGGGGCAGTTACCATTTTTCACACAACCAATTTCATTAAATGTAACATCTTGTTTTTGTACATTATGGGTCCTTAATTTTCTTGGTGAGTTATCTAATTTTTTTTAACTTGGCCTACAAGTCTTATTTCTTACATAAGAAGCTCCTTTGATAAGTACTAAATTTCATGTGGTGCCACATTTGTTGATCACCAGAAGAATTTCATATCTCAACTATTCATTCAATTATGGGAGACGCTTCTGATGAAAGGAAAACAGGTTGCGGCCTGTTGAACGCGGTTTTTGGAAGGAAAAATATGTGGACAAAAAGATCAACATCAACAGGTTCGCTTCCAACACCAAATTCCAATAATGTTAACAATTTAACGCGATCTTCTAGTAGTCAAACTTCTAAAAAGCATCGTAATGGATCCAACGAGGCTTTTTTAGACAATCGTGACAACGAGAAACAAGCTGATAGGATCATACCAAGACCTAATCAAAATCAATCCAAGGTAGCTGCGACTAAGGGTAATTTGCAAGGTGCTGCACCTGTTTATAATCAGCAGAAAAATAATGGTCAAGGGGTACAACAAGGGTATAATAATCAAGGAAGAAAAGTAGCTCCGCCATCAACGGGGCTATCAGGGGAGCTTGAAAACATGATACAAGATCATCAAAGATCAAAGGGAGCTAATACATTAGTCCGTGCATCGTCTAGCAACGTGATGTTGTTTGGTAATTTGGGTAACATAAGGCAGCAAGGTGGGGGCAATGCTACAACAACTTCAACAGCTAATCATGTTCTTGATTATTTACCAAGAACGGCTAAAGAAGAACCACAACAACCATCTCAGAATGGGAAATATCCTACGAGTGTTATGGGTAATGTGGTAAAGAAAAAGGGTGATCAAGAGCAGGGGAAAACAGGGGGCTCTGTTTCCCTTTGTCGCGCTTTATCCACAAGAATGGACCCTGAGCAATTGAAGATTCTTGGAAATGAGGATTACAAGAATGGAAGATTTGCTGAGGCTTTAGCTTTGTATGATGCTGCAATTTCAATTGATCCTAATAAGGCTTCTTATCGAAGCAACAAATCCGCTGCTTTGACTGCTTTAGGAAGGCTTCTTCAAGCTGTTTTTGAGTGCAGAGAAGCTATATCAATTGATCCTCATTATCAAAGAGCTCATAATCGTTTGGCCACCCTATGTGTCAGGTAAATCTAAAAAAATAATAATTCATTTCATTATATTACTATTACTATTACTATTACAATTGTTGAAATGACTATTGTTTTCGTATTTAGATTAGGAGACACAGAGAAAGCTATGTACCATTACAAACAAGCAGCATCAGAAGCTGATCCTGATGTTGTGACAAAGTCTAAAACTATTCAAATTCATCTCAACAAGTGTACTGAAGCGAAGAGGCAAAGAGATTGGAACACTCTTCTTAAAGAATCTGCCCTCGCCATATCGGCTGGTGCAGATTCTGCATCACAGGTTAACTATCTTACTCATTAAACCATAAGAATTTGTTCTTTTCTTTAGTGTCATGAGCTAAATTTTTTGTTGTTGTTTATCGATGACAAAAAAAGATATTTGCTTTGAAAGCGGAGGCGTTGGTGAAGCTCCATAGATACCATGAAGCAGATCAAACTCTGAAGAATGGTCCGAATTTTGATATCGATGAATGTATAAAGTTCTTTGGCCCTATTGGCAATGCAGGTTTGTTGGTCATTCAAGCTCAAGTTGACATGGCTGCTGGCAGGTTAGTTAGTTCTCAGATTTTAAATTATTCAAACTATTCAACATTTCACACCTCCACCCTTTAATAAAAAATTGTATTCAATCTAGGTCATAGTTGTGGTCCTAAAGATGCCAATAACCAAGATTAGGACAGAAAGTAAAGACTTAATTAGTATTGGATTATTGTCTAACAAATAAAATGTTTGGTTTAGCTAACAGCTCAAAAGGAGAATTATGTGTAGGAGAAAAGAGAAACCAAAAAGAAGAGTACTTGAGTATGTATTTGGTAGTTGTAGGTTCAATTTGACATGTAAATCACCCTCAATCAATATTCATGCTTGCCAACACGAGTAGTTTAAAAACCTTTGAGTATTGATTTACAAGGTTTTCAAGACATTGCTTATTTAATATTCCTTCTATGGACAGTAAAATACAAAATAATGCGTCTCAATCAATCATATCGTCTTACATAAAATACAAAATAACAGACTCAATCAATTAAGTATGTCTCAATTTCAAACTAATTGAACTTGGTCATACGAATGCTCTAAATATGTATGCCATATTCCAATCAACTAAACATGACATTATATTTCCATCGTTACTATCAACTTATTATGATTGTTACATGATAGGATTGACGATGCCCTAGCAGCGGCTCAACGAGCATCCCAACTAGATGGGAACAACAAGGAAGTGAGCATGATAGTTAGGAGGACAAGGGCAGTAGCAAGTGCTAGAACAAAGGGAAATGAGTTGTTTAAAGGTGGAAAATATGGAGATGCTAGTGTTGCTTATGGTGAAGGGCTAGAGCATGATCCACACAACTCAGTTTTATTGTGCAACAGAGCAGCTTGCAGGTCAAAACTTGGCCAATTTGAGAAAGCACTTGAGGATTGCAATACTGCCCTTAATGTTAGACCATCTTTCACCAAAGCTAGGTTGAGGAAGGCTGATTGTTACTTTAAGGTAACTTTTCATTTTCCTTATGCTTTGATACTAAGTTTAACGGTTATCATTTGTAACAATATTTCACTATAACAAGCACATTTTATATGAAATCGGTCTTTCATGTTATATTATATGTCCACTCTAACAACATTTCGCTATAACAATTTGAAAATATCAGAACAAACGATGTTATTATAAATGTGTCATTAGATTTTTTATTTTTTTTAATATTAAACAATCATGATATGACATGTCCATGGTAGCTACGTCCTTAAAAATTAGTTGGCCTATTGGTTCAATACATTGTCGTTTGATAAGGTGTATAACAATTAGACTGAATGGTGTATTGATAATGTTAATATTAGTAATGCTGGTATCAGTTATGCTTACATTAGTTATGTTTCAGATTATTTCTTATGTAGTGTTTTATTTAGTGCATTAAAAATAACATTTATTTGATTTTTTTTTTTCTTTGATTGATTTAATTGAAGATTTTGTGTGTGATATACTAGATGGGAAAATGGGAAGCATGCATACAAGAATGTGAAGTGTTGATAAAGGAGACACCAGAAAATGAGGATGTGGGACAAATGATTAAGGATGCCCAACAACAACTCAAAAAATGAGGAATTTGTCAAAGAAATGAAGAGCATGAACACCACCAATGACATTTATGGTTGTCATTAATTTGTCAATCTCCATAACAAATTAATTTGAATTGTATCATCACTTGTTTGTTCAATTCCAATCCCTCCATAAAAGGAAACAACAGGGTCAAATATAGAAAAAAGTGGTAGGGAAGGGGTTAAGAGAAGGATTTATAAAGGTCTTTTAGGGAACAAAGAAAGAGATAATGGGAGAAAGATCAAAGGATTAAGAGGCTTGAGTTAGAAAATAGGATTTGGTAGGCTATATTGGCTCATCTCTTTAGGAAAAAAAAAAAGAATTAAAGAAAGGAATTCATTAGGGTGCTTTGGAAACAAAAAATTAAAGAACTATGAATTTTTAGTGAATGAGAACAATTCTTTTACATTTGTTGCATTTTCTTAATATGTAATTAGTTTGTTTAACACGGTTTTGCTGACTTATTTTCTATTTTGCCTTGTTTTTTCTTCTCCCCCCACTCCTACTCTATCAGTCTCAAAATACTTATTATGTTTTTCATTTACACGCTTCTTAAGAAAATACTAATCAAAAAGGGTGTTTGACTATTTTATCCTTATTTATATCTTAAGATATAATCTTTATTTATTAAATATTTAGTCTATTTATATGCCATAATTGAGGTATCAGTAGTGTTAAAACAATTTCTACTAAGAATAAATGAGGAAATAATAATTAATCTGTCTTAAACTAGTGTAACGATAAATGTTTTGAAACAATTTTTTTAATAACGATGACATGTATTTTAAGACGCGGAAGTAAAAGATATATACATATCTTGGCATTTCACTCTGCATTTCTTGCTTGAAAGTTTATTAAAAGGAAATGAAATTCTTAACAATCATTACTCCATAAAATATGGGGTCCTTCCAATTGTATTAATTAAAGTGCATCACAGCTAGGTTAAGGCTGTTTCAAGATTTTGTAGAGTGACTAATCTATAAGTAATTTTTCTCTAACTTGGGTCCTTTAATCATCAACTGGATGGCATGATCGAGATGAATAATTATTAAGTAGAAAAATTAATGATATATAATCTTTTGGCCCCTCCACCTAATTTCGTATCCATTTACTATAGTGTGTAGGTTGAAAATGACTTTCTTTACTAGAGAAAATTGAGTAATTTTATCAGTATTTTCAAAAATATTTTTGGGGCGAGTTTTGGGGCTGGACATATTAAAAATGATTTGAGGTGCAAATTGAAGGTGTAGATTTATTGGACATAAGTTCTGGGCATAAAAATGTAAGTCCTTGACGTAAAAATATAAGCTCCGGATGTTAATTTTCATCTTTGCTTTAAATCATATTTTTTTATTATTGGTGTAATGGTATCTATATTTTGTACTATCATGTTTTTTTAGGTTGTAGTGATTTTTTCTAATATGTATAGATAAATTGTCATAGAAAATGACATTGCTATAAATAATTTTTTAGATAATCGTGTTTAAAATTAATAGGATAGAGCTTTCATACTATGTTCTTGAAACAACTTTATTCATTTTTTGTCATTATTTTTACACTTTTTATCATTCTTCTTTAAAATATATAAACAATAGTTAGTGCAAATATTAATTAAGGGTTAAAAGACTAGTAAATGTGAAGATGGGTGATGATTTAATTTTAAAGATTATTTTGGCAATTATCATGTTTTGTGTTGTTAGTTGTAATTATAATATATTTTTCTATATTATTGGTTATTAATACCTTTTCTCAAATGATAATTATAATTTTTTTTTATATTATTAGTTATTTATTAAAATTTATTTATAACATCATTGAAAGTTTTACTTTGCTTATTCTCTTAATAATAAAATTATAAAATTGAATATACATAAGATATGCGCCCCGTATCTCGAGGCTTACGCCTCACCCCCAACTGTATAAAATGTCTCGCCTCACGCCCCACCTTCTAAAACATTGGTAAATATATGCTAGCCTACCATTAACTTATTCAAAAAAATGTATTATGTATAACAATTAACATGGCATGCTCTTGATATACATGATATGGTTCTCAGAATGAAAGTGAAATTAAAATTGGTTGTATCTCAACATTTATATTCATGGTATACATATATATTGATGTAATTCAGTTGATTGAATATGATAATTGATATTAGTTTCAGTTTAAAATATATATACACTACTAAAAAGAGTTAAATATTTTTTGGCAAAAATCAACCTAAAATTGGAGGTTTGGTAACTTAGAAAACTCTCAAGTGGGGAGTCAAAAAAGTGTTTCGCTGATTTGTTCGATCAGAAGTTGTTAAATATTCGATAAACACAAAAATGACCAATTTTGATAATTTAAAGAATTGAAATTATCATAGTATATTTGAACAACTACTATTTTAGAACAATAATAGTATATTCAATGAATTTTTCCATTTTAAGGGGATTGGAAAATGATCAAATATAAGCAATTTTTTTTATTTCTACATTTATAAAATAGAGGATTGTATCTTATATATCCTCGATTTAAAAGAAGGGAATGAACTATTTTTGAACTATTAAAAAATAAAGGACATTTTTTGTCATATACTTTAATATATATGTTCAGAGGCAAACTTAAACCTCAGTAGCATTATAAACTTTATCCTTTCTAACCATCACATCGTCAGTTCTAAGTATAACTACACGAAATCTAGACTTATTAGTGATAGTTTTGCAGCATGTTTTGTTCATATAGAATAAGCAATAATGCAATAACTTTTATTTTTCCAAAGTGTAGTATTCATGATAGTAGTGGTGGAATCGTTTTCACTAAAAGAAACAAAGATTAAACGAGAAATTCAATATCTACTATATATAAAAACTAATTTTAATCGTATACAAACGATTGTACATTCTATTAAAGCAAATTCGGATGGATCCCCCTCGGCTTTTGCTATCTCCGCCCCTCATGAATCATGATAGTATATATTGGACCTTATTATTCATTAAATAAAATATAATGTCTTCTCTACTACTAATACTAAAGCACTACTACATCTCGAAAACAATAAACATCATAGCAACATTGAACCGTTACCAATTGTCTTTTCTGCCCCTTATTAAATTCACACTTCAATAATAAAATATGGGCTCAGGCCCAATCAAAGCCCAATAGATGATCGATAGATCACATCACAGCAACATCGAAAACAACCAGATTCTCACCGGAAACAGGCAGATCCTCACCGGAGAGAGGCAAATTCTCACCGGACTTAGTCTTCTTACATAGATCTTTGATGAAAGTGAGCTGATAAGGCGAATGATCAGTCGCGATCCACTGCTCCACTTTGAAATTCTGTTGATCGCATTCTCTATGGACTCCGGTGACGGTGACTTCGACGTAGTTACAGTACCATCCATGGCCGGAGCCTGTTCCATCGGAAGTCAAGTTCATCTTACAGATCGGCCCATTTAAACATGGGCCTCGCCCACTGAAAATGTCTAAGTTTCCTCTCTCGAAATAGTTGTAACCCGGGCCCATAAGCCCGCCCCAAGCTTCCAAGTTATTGATTCGAATACCATACCCGTTTGCATTGTAGAGAGTCAAGCTGATGATTGAATCAGTTCCAGCTTTTATTTTTGAACTAGTTCGAACGTAAACTGTGTACACACAATCGTCTTCCTGCAATTTATAAAAACAAAAAATTAGAAATGTAAGTGCGGCAAAATCAAATTCAATCCATCCAATTCGTTTAAGTTTGGTTGGGTTATTGATCCGCTATTTCAATCAATTAAAAATTGGGTTGATAGGTAATCCTAAATTGGCTTATAAAAATCTTGTCGAAATATTTCTAAAAAACTTTTTTTTCAATTTGATATGTTGTATATAGTCTTAATAAGATTTTTTTTTTATTAAATACTTAATAGTTTAAAAGAACAAATAAAACAATTAAACTTAGTAGAAATTGGATTGAATTGAGTCTTGATCCATAATGTAATCCATTTTAATCCAACCATTTTGACCAAACAAATTTGAATTGAATTAGATCTTAACTCGATTATTGATTTAACCTATTATGACTCATCTAAATTTGGCACAACCCAACCAATTGTGAACCCCAAACATATGGAGTACTCGATAAAATATTTTATTAAATATAAAAATATATACTTATTATGTCCCATTTCATAAGAAAAAATAAACCTTTTTTTAATTGTAGTCCACCATTCTGCCATAATATGTTTAAAGTTTTCAAAGATAATTTATGTATTTAATACATAAAATGTATTATAAATTATAAAAATTAACAATTCATCATACTTAAAAGGACATATAAATAAATAGCCATCAAAGACATTTTGATTCTAAAATAAAAATCTTATTTGACTCTCGAAATTTAAATTATATCCTATGAATTGGAACAAAGCTAAGGAGTCGGTTGCCAAAAGAAATACGTGCTAAATACACCACCCACTCAATTTAGTTTATATCTTTTACTCCTATTAAATTGGGTTTAAAACATTATTTTTATTTATAGTAAATTTTTAATTTTAATATTCTCATTTTAAAATATATTTTTAATATGTTATTCTATTTATTTCAATTTGTTAACTAAATATATAAAGAATGTAACAAAATGTTTTTTATTTATTTTGTGTATTAAAAATGTCATGTGAAAAGTCAAAATTAAAAAATTAGTAAAAAAGAAAAAATATATTATTTTTCAAATAAACTAAAAAAAATAAGATAAAGAATTGAAAATAAAGGGAGCATAATACCTAATTAACATTCTAAAAATTTCTTTAAATTCCTAAATTGGGTGTTTAATCAATCTAAAATATATAGAACGAAAATCAACTGATTATAAAAAATACAATAGCAATAGAGTAATGAGCAAGAGTATGAGAAGAGTAACTTACAGATCCATAAATGGAGGAGATGGAGAAACAAAAAAAGAGTATAAAGAGATTGAACCAAAAATAGTTGAGTTGAGCTATTACTCCCATGGCTTTTTCTTCCTCTCTCTTGAATATGCAACCAGTTCAATTTATAGATCACATCAAGCTTTAATTGATGGGACCTTATAATATTTTTACAATTCTATTTTCAATTTTCTCTTTTTTTGGGAGTAATGGTTTTTTAGTCTTTTATATTATTCTTTAAAAAATTGTGTTTTTTAATTAAAATTTAAAAATAATAGTGAAATAAAAAATTTTCATTAAGAATATTCAAAATTTAATATATATGAATGAAAATAATTTTTGAACGATACAATCTTTCTACGGAGGATATTCAATTCACTGTATATGAGAACACCATTGAATATAAATTTATATAAAAAATCTCCATTGTCATACACCTATTAGCACATGGTAGGTAGAAGTTCAAAGTAATGTAGTAACTGAAGTCTCGTGTTTTCCATGGTTTTGACTGGTGTGCCAATTGATAACAAACCACCATATGAAATTGTGAAATAAAATTTAGATAACTGATTTTAAGCTGATTTCATTTCATGATTTCATATCATGTAATGGAATTCCATATTCTAAAAGATCATCATTTGAAAATTTCATATCATGATTTGAGATTTTTCAAAAATATAAAAATTGACCTACACATTTATATTTTGTAAAAAATAATCTCACACATATATCTACTAGCTATTTATTTCATATATAAATAAAATTTATAATCGTATCATTACTATCACGATCCGAGCCTACACCCTGGACGTGGCCGGCACTTGAGAATCATTGCTGGTCCCCAAGCGAACCGTCATCCTGTCTGACTACAAGCGGAAGACTAACTCAAGCATACAAAACTTAAAACATCGTAAAATTCATTGAAACTCAAATAATTAACTCAGAATATAATTGTATAATCAACTAGCCAAAACTAGGCAACTCAAGTCTTTAAAACATTTAACAAGATAAATGAAACAAACTTCTCAAACTCTACTGTCTATCTATGAAGCCTCTAAATGACAAAGATGGAAGTTGGGACAAGACCCATGACATCCTGACAAAACTGAAAAGTAAATGAAATCCTCCAAAAGCAAGGAGACTCACCATAGCTAAATCGAAATTCATGTTGTATCAATGAAGCTCCTGTTAATGACTCTGAATACTTGTATCTGCATCATGAAATGATGCAGGTCAAATGGCTCAGTACGTGAAATGTACGAGCATGTAAGGGGAATTCTAAAGCATAAATATAAGCTTGAACTTGATAAAAAAGAAACATACTTACCTCTTCTCAACTTAATCGACTCAACTCAACTCAAGAATAAGATACTCAACTCAAAGATATGATATGATATGATACTCAAAGGTACTCAACTCATGATACTCAAGGATAAAGCAACAATAAAAGATACAATATATATGGAAAGCTATAAAACTGTAGATAACAACTCAATGTATTGAAAAAATACAATAATACTCGGTGTGTATATAAAAATACAATATAACTCTGTGGGAGATTCTCTTGTTAGGGTTTTGCCCTGATTTTCTTACCATAATTTAAGATTTATTTTTCCTTAAAGAAAAAACAAAACATTACCATAAATGTTTTTACTTTTCTTGAAAGGAAAATATAATATTATTTCATATTTGATTTATTCTCTCCTTTAGGACTCCTTTTCTAGTAAGAAAATTTTTTAGGACTCTATAAATATAGGTTTGTTTCTTCTAACACAATAACAATAACATCCACAATGTAGTCGTTTAAGATTCTTGTTTATGGGGAGATTTATTCTCTCTAAAGTTTCAATGTTTTTCTTTATATTAGTTTTGATATAATAATATTTTGATTTTTAGTATAAGTTTTTTGTTATCTGATTTATCAACTATATGATTTGTAAATTGTAAGCTTCCGCATGACGCCCTATTCACTCCTTCAGAACCCAACATCTCTAACCGATAACTATCATTATGAGCTATGTGATGATACAAGCCCACGCTATCAGAACTGTCTTATACTTTGCCGGGGTATAGAACCTCTCAACTAAGTGGATCCACTAGTCTATGCTAAAAATCATTAAGGAATCATCTAAAAGTATGATCATTTTTACCCACATTGGCAACATGGTTTATGGAGACTTGAGTTATCTGAACTCGTTCCCATATCGGTGCTCAATACTACTTTCAAAATATACTCAGCTCATATGTTTAAAAACATAACTCTTTCTGTGGTTTGAGATTATTACTCAAAATCTTTCTCTTAAAAAAGATGTTACTCAAACTGCTCAAAACTCTTTTGGAAATCTCAGTTTCCTCCTCTTTTAAATGTGAAAACATTTACTCTTGGGAATACTTAGTTCCCATATATTATTTTAAAGAAAATGAACTCAACTCTACTATTTCTCAACTCAAGTGCTCAAGTCTTAAAATAAGTTTAGAAAAATTTGTAAAAGACTTCTCAAAATAAGGTTCATGCCGAATTATGGACGTGAACGACTCAATTCAAGGTTTTCAATAACCATACATAGAACTCAATACTCGAAACTCAACAACTCAGAACTCAAGAACTTCAATGATACTACTTATTTCAAGAATGCTTAACTCATAGGGTTCAAGCGGAATTATGGACATGAACTACTCAACTCAAGGACTCAAAGATACTTCTCATCTCCAGACTGCTCGACTTATAGAGTTCATGTGGAATTATGGGGATGAACTATTCAACTCAAGGACTTCATAGGTAACGTGTAATAGTCCCATGATTAGGAATATAATCTAAAAAGGGTTAGGAACTCAATACACAAGATTTAGAACTTGAAGATACTACTCCTCTCAAAGATACTTCAACTTATGGAGTTTATGCAGAAGTTATGGGCATGAACAACTCGACTCAAGGGTCTACATAACGATATGAAACTCATGTATATGACTCTTCTCATTCTCATACTTACTTCCTCAAAACTCAGCTCAAATCGATAGTTGATCTCAAAGGATCCACAATTTAACTCAAAGACTTTCTTGAACCCTACTCTTAACTCTCTCTTGAATGTGAATTATGAATTCAAGAGTTATGGTTCATAATATGAAAGATCTCGTGATGATAAAGTAGACTCATGAATACATTCTACTCATTATCATACTCACTTGCTCGAGTATAAAACAAGTTGTTAGAAATTGTAGAAGACTCCTCAAAAAGACTCAAAGGGACTTTCTTGAAAATGTTCGAAAGGACTCTTAAGACTTAACTCTTAGATCTACCTTGAATTTGAATTATGAATTCAAGGTTATGATTTGTGGTAGGAAAGATATCGTGATGATTAAAAGTGTTTTAGATAGTTAATCATGAGAAATAGTTGAAAAACATTGTCTGGGGAGCAAGTCCGCAATACGGAGATGAATTATAATGTTTGGTCGAAATAATTTTTGAGACAGTGGAGTCCGCGTTCTCTCCGCGACGCGGAGAGAAAAATATCACTTCTAAGGAACAAGTCCGCGACGTGGACCTGATACTTATTTTCTGCCCGACTTTTGTTACTCATTTTCTAACCCCAATTTGCCTAAATTTGATTCTTTTTCTCAATTTCTCTTTAGATTCAGATACCCAATACATGTACACAAGAATCTAATCAAACACAACTTTAAATCGACACGATTTCCTCAGGAACTCATCAATCTCATCTTAACTCAAGAACGAAAGCCAATTTCAAGAACACAATTCAAGCACATCAATCCTTCATCTTTCTAGAACGAATTTAACGCTGAAATTAACATGATTGGCGTGTGGGTAAACAAATCCAACACTATGGAAGCCTACATACCTCTTAGGGATCAAACCCATGGCGAAAATCCACAATAAAACTCAAGAACCTCGATGAACGCCTTGATCCTTTAGTCTTTTCTCCTTTTTTTTCTCTTATTTTCTCTTCTTGAACTCTCAACTAAAACCCTAGGCATATATTAGGATTATAAAACTGAACCTAATCGGATTAGACCCTTAAAAACTTACTAAAAATGAATTAAATCTAATTAGGTAAGGAAAAGACCAAAATGCCCCTTACTATTTTCGGGTAACTTTCCTTATTTGGACAGATCGACTTCAAACGGGCATATATCCCTCATACGAGCTCGAAATTTAGCAAACTCGGTGGTTTTGGAAAGAGGAATCCAAGACCTTTCATTTGATACCTTGTAGCCCACCTAATTCATTTTGTACTGAAGGTTATGGTCGTTTGAAGTTGACCAAAAACTTAGAAGGACTTAGGAATGACTTGAATGAATTTTCTCTAGTTCTTTTTGAAACACAAGGTGCTACATCTAGTGACTTTAACACTTGGGGAAAAAATAAATTATTTGGTAAAAACTTACTCACTACGAAGGATGGTTCAAGTCTTGGCTCAAAAAATTTCTGGGATGTTACAACTACTTTGTAAAATTTATTATTTTCACCAACATAAAATTTATTATTACTTTAAATCAATTCCAACTTTATTATTTATATTAATTAAATTCATTATCTCTTATCAAATTTATTTATCAACCATTTGTTGGGCAATATCATTCGACACTATATTTTCATGCTCATATACAATTATTTCAGCACTCCTTTGGTATTATCGCAAATAATTATGTAACACGGCAAATGTTATGACAATTTTCACTTGTTTGTCAATATCATATGATTCATGCCTTGTTTTACTTGTGTGCAATTGCACATTTTTCAGTGCATTAATTTCGTGCTAAAATCAAACATATTGAAAGTAATGATTATCTAACATACATCACCAATTTTGTCCTTTTTCATATTAAATTGCTTTAAACATTTTTATATGTAGGCAAAAGAGAAGTTTTTTTTTATTATGAAAAACCAAAAATATATTACTCCCTCCGTTTGTATTTATATTCACCAAATTGAAAGCAATGATATATTTTATGTTGGTGAGAAAAATAAATTTTAAAAAGTAATACATGATTATTAATTTTATTTACATATGAAATAAATGGTCAGTAGTTACCATGTGGGGTTGTTTTAACAAAATATAAACTTGTGGTCAACTTTTGTATTTAAA